GTGCCTTGGTCAGAAATGATGGAAATGGGCACACCGTGTAGGAAAATAATCTCCCGTATGCAAATCTGAGCCAATCGCTCATAAGAATAGGAAGCCATCACCGGAATGAATAGTGTAGAATTTGTCAACCGGTCTACAATAACCCGGACTACTTCATATTCTCTCAAGGTCTGTGGTAAGCCTAGCACAAAATCCATAGTGATGCGCTCCCACTTTCACTACAGTATCTCCAATCTCTGAGTCAACCCACCTGGTTATTTATGCTTGTACTTCACCTATTGACAGTTCAAACACCGAGAGACATAAGCAACAATATCTTTCTTCATTATCCGCCACCAATAGTGTTGTTTCAAGTCATGGTACATCTTCGTGATACCTGGACGAATGGAATAGCGGGAATTATGATCATTCTTAAGGATCAACTGTCTCAACCAATAAACATTAGGAATACAAATCCGGCCCTGAAGTCTCATACCACCTATCACCACCTCTTTAGCACCATCCCGCTACACCGTGTGCTTCAATACCAACAAGTAAGGATCATCAAACTTGAGAACCTTGATATACTCCAACAACGATGATTGTACCACAACACAAACAAGAATCTGGCGAGGATTCGAAACATCCAATCTCATAATTCGATTGGCCAAAGCCTGAACATCCATGGCTAGTGGTCTCTCAGTTGCCGGTAAATATGCCAAACTACCCATGCTCTCAGCCTTCCTATCAATCCATCGACCACTAAATTGGCCTTCCCCGAATAGTATAATATGGTGATATCATAATCTTTCAGAAACTCTAACCATCTCCGCTACCGCAAATTAAGGTCCTTTTGCTTGAACAGGTGTTGGACATTCCGATGGTCACTACAGACCTCACATGGAATTTTATATAGATAGTGCCTCTAAATCTTCAGTGCGTGAACAATGGCTACTAACTCTAAGTCATGCACAAGGTAATTCTTCTCATGAACCTTCAACTTACGAAAGGATTAGGCAATCACCCTACAGTCCTACATCAACACCGCGCCAAGCCCAATACATGATGCATCATAATACACGGTGTAAGATCCCAAACCCGTAGGCAACACCAACACTGGGGCTGTAGTTTATGCAGTCTTGAGATTCTAACATCTCACCTCACACTCATCAGAACATCTAAAAGGAGCACCCTTCTGGGTCAATTTCGTCAAAGAAGTTGCGATAGATGTAAAACCCTCCACGAAATGACGATAATATCTAGCCAAACCCAAGAAGCTCTGAATCTCTATAGCTGAAGTAGGTCTAGGCCAGTTATGAACTACCTCAATCTTCTTTGGATCCATCTTAATTCCCTCATTCGACACCATGTGGCCCAAGAATGCCACTGAATCAAGCCAAAACTCACACTTGGAGAATTTAGCATATAGCTTCTTTTCCCACAAGGTCTGGAGCACGATCCTAAAGTGCTTCTCATGGTCCTCCAGCTACAAGAACACACCAATATGTCATCAATGATCACGATGATGAAGGAATCAAGATATGGCTGGAACACACTGTTCATCAAGTGCATGAAAGTTGCTAGGGAATTGGTCAGCCCAAAAGACATCACCAGAAACTCATAGTGACCATAGAGGGTTTTGAAAGTTGTCTTCGGAATATCTAAAGCCCGAATCTTCAACTGATGATATCCTGATCTCAAGTCAATATTTGAGAATACCTTATCACCCTCATACTGGTAAAACAAATCATCAATACGTGGTAGTGGGTACTTGTTCTTGACTGTAACTTTGTTTAACAGCATGTAGTCAATACACATCCTTATAGAGCCATCTTTATTCTTCACAAATAGAACTGGAGCACCACAAGGCAAAACACTCGGTCTAATGAAACCCTTATCAAGTAGCTCCTGAAGTTGTTCCTTTAATTCTTTCAACTCTACTAGTTCAATGTGATACATTAGAATAGATATAGGCAGAGTGCCCGACACCAAGTCAATACCAAAATAAATATCCCTATCAGACTGCATGCCTGGTACATCTGCTGGAAACACATCTAGAAAATCTCTCACTACCAAAATTGACTCAACGATGGGAGTATCAACACTAACATCCCTCACAAAGGCTAAGTATGCCAAGCACCCATTCTCAACCATCCGTTGTGCCTTCAGATAATACACCACCCTACTGGGAACATAATCCAATAAACCTCTCTACTCCAATATCGAAAATCCCGGCATCGCCAATAGCACGATCTTAATTTGACAATCCAGAATAGCATGTTATGATGACAACCAATCTATGCCTAAGATCACATCAAAGTCTACCATACTTAGTAACAAAAGGTCTACCATAATCTAATAATCCCCGATCTACCATAATGGAATTCCCAACAAACATAGACACATATACAAGAGCACTCAAAGAATCACGATTACGTAAGTTTGGTCGAGTTTCGAGGCGCAAGCCCGTGGTTGACTTATTAAGTTGAATTTTTGATTTTTTTTAAATATTGCAACTTTATTATCTGAAATCATTTCCTATGGTTTGTATTTATGGTATTAAGTTATTTTGGCTAGAATCGAGCCGTCCAGAGTAGGATTTTCGCAAAAAAGGCTTACTAGTGTGTTGATGTAGCTTGTTTGGGGTAAGTATCTTGTCTAACTTTGTGTGAGGCAACTACGTCTTAGAACTTGGGTTGATTTGTGTTATTTGAGTAATGTGAAAAAGTGTACACGAGGTGACGAGTGTGTACATAGGCGTATGTGTGGTACTTTGACCAGATTAGACTCTTAGACTCTTTCATGCATTAAATTAGAAATTTTAATATCATGTTGTATCTTCCATTGTTAAATTGATTTTACATGTTTTCCTTGGCATTGTTATCACATGCTCTATTCCTTCTTGAAAACATGCTCTTATATGCTTTAATTGCCTTTGTTGTCTCTCTTATTGTCATGTTACCTCTTTTATTGTCGAGTTATTCTTTCTTGGAGTTGTCATTTCATGTTGTCCTTCCGTGTTGAGTTATTCCATGTATTTAGATATAGATACTATTTCATACCATCTCTTTTATTATTAAATTTACGTTGCACCTTTAAAGTGGAAATCGTCATTTCGTGGAAATACCTTCATTTTGAGTTATTGATGTTGAAATTATGAAAGTTAACATCACATTGAGGTTTAAGTTGCTGGTTATTGAGATATATTTCATTGATCAGTAATTCTTGTTCGTATTTTTATTATTGAGATTCTTGTTCATATTGTGGTCGAGTCGTGGGCTATATGTGGTGAAAACTTTGGTATTGTTCATTTTTGGCAAGTTGTGGCATATGGAGACTTGTGGTGCGAATTGTTATTATGTTGTCATATTGATGTGCATGTGGCGGTATAAGGATATGGGTTAAGGTGCATGCGGTGGTATAAGGTGGGATTTATGTACGTGTTGCTAGTAAGGGAATTACTTGTAGCCACACGATGACATAAGGTGGGCTAAAGTATGTGTAGATATTTCGGAAAAACATGTTTTCAAAACTATCTAAATGTAAGGTTTATATGGAAGTATAAGGAAAGATTGTGATTGTCATTGTGATTGTGAAATGATGTTACGAGGCGATATCTCGATTGTAATTCTTTATGCTATCTCTTATTTACCTCACTTGTTTTTGTCCGCATTGTTTCCTTGATGTTATAATCATGTATTCCCTCCTTGTTGCCTTTATTAATTTAAATATAGTAGTTGTCTTACCTTATTATATTGCTTTATTGTCACTATTTCTTCGTTTTCATTATTAGACTATACTATACTTGTTCAGCTTTTCTTATCCTAGTAGGTGTTTTGACCTGTCCTCGTCACTACTCTACCGAGGTTAGGCTTGATACTTACTAGGTATCATTGTGGTGTATTCATACTATGCTTGTGCACATTTTGTACAGATCCGGGTACTTCGACTCAGGCTAGGCATTAGTGAGTGGACCATAAAGTTCGGAGACTTCAAGGTATACCTGTTCGGCGCTCATAGGCCTCAGAGTCACCTTCTATCCATATTTTGTTACTGTTTACTTTTTATCTAGACAATGTTGAACTAGGGAATTTACAGTATACTCCTGTAGAGCTTATGACTCAATTCCATCGATTTTTGGGAATTTTGCTCTAGCAATTTTGTTTGGAGTTATTATGAGTTTTATAAAATTATCTTATTATCTTAGCTATTATATTTCGTTAAGTTATTTGTGAACATTAGGCTTACCTAGTATTAGAGATTAGGTACCATCACAACTACCTTAGGTGGGATTTTGGATTCGTGACAAGTTGGTATCAGAGCTCTAGGTTCATAGGTGTTACGAGTCACAAGAAGGTTTAGTAGAGTCTTGCGGGTCAGTATAGAGATGTTTGTACTTATCTTCGAGAGGCTACAACACTATTAGGAAAATTTCACTTCTTTGATTCATTATCTTGCGAAGTTGTTGATTTTGAAATCTTTTTTTGTTTTTCTAATCTCTCACAGATGGTGAGGACGCGCACTGCTGTATCCGATGATCATTCACGCATGCCCCCTACTAGCACCGTAAGAGGTCGGGGTCGGGTAGAGGTCAAGGAGGAGCACATGGTGCCGCCAGAGTACCTGCCCGAGCAATGAGTAAAGATCCACCAATAGCTCCTATTGGGGGACGGGCCCCCGAGGCGCATGTTGTCACTCTCGTAGTTTAGGAGACCTTAGAACAGTTTTTGAGATGTTCGGTACTCCAGCTCAGGCGGGATTAATTCCCCTTGCACCAGCTATATCTCTGGATGGGGGAGGAGCTCAGACTCCCACGACGCATACTCTAGAGCAGCGGGTCCATATTGATCACGTCTTAAAGGTTATGCCAATGTAGCATGTTATTTCGGTTCAGCCCGAGGTCAGGGTAGTGGAATCTGATACTGGAGAGGTTCAAAAAGTACTATACTCATACTTACAATGGCCTAGCCACCAAGGATGCACAGGGTTTTCTAGAGAAGTACCATCATATTCTCTGAACCATGGGTATTGTGGAGACGAGTGGAGTTACTTTCACTACATTTCAAATGTCTGGAGAAGACTACAAGTGGTGGAAGGCTTGCGAGGAGGGTAGCCCAACCGATGCAGCTCCACTCACTTGGGCTCTATTTTCAGAGATGTTTATGAGGAAGTTTGTTCCCCAGACCCTCCGGGATGAATTTCACACGGAGTTTGAGCAATTGCGCCAGGGTGCTATATCAGTGTCAAAGTATGCTATCAGATTCAGTGAGTTATCCCGACATGCGCCTGCTTTGGTTGCTACAGTCAGAGATCGAGTTCGCAGATTCATCGAGAGGCTCAACTATGGTATTAGATTCAATATGGCTTAGGACTTGGAGACGGATACTCCATTTCAGTAGGCGGTGGAGATCGACCGGAGGTTGGAGGGTATGTAGGGCTGAGATAGAGAGGACAAAGAGGTCAAGATGCCTAGATGTACTGGAGCATTTAGTGGTGGCCATGCTCTAGCTACAGACTGTCATGGTAGGGGTTATGTGAGTCGGCCAGTTCATTCAGCACTTCCAGCTACTAGTAATGCTATGGCTACTTCCAGGTTTCAAGTTGCCCATTATGCACCGCCATTGTCCAGTGCACCTCCTGCATTAGGTGCTTTCAGTGGTTTGTCCAGCCGACCAGGCCAGAGTCAATTTCAACAGCCACACCCACCGAGAGCTTGTTTTGAGTGTGGCAATACCAGACACATGGTGAGGGACTATCCCACAATTAGGAGGGGTGCACCTCCATAGACTACATATGCTCCACGGATCCCACAGGTTTTATAGGGTTCACAGGCCACGGTTGCAGCTCTAGTGTCTGCCCCACCTGCACATCCAAGTAGAGGTGGAGGACAGACAGGTAGAGGCTACTCTAGAAAGGGATGCTAGGCTTATTTCTATGCTTTTTCGGGTAGGATAGAGGTTGTCGCTTCAGATGTTGTCATTAGAGGTATTATTCCGATCTGTCACAGGAATGCCTCACTTTTATTTGATCTGGGCTCCACTTACTCATATGTGTCATCTTACTTTACTCCGTATTTGGATATATCATGTGATTCTTTGAGTGCTCATGTATATGTGTCCACGCCTGTGGAAGATTGCATTATTGTATACCGTGTTTATCGGTCGTGTTTAGTCACTATGGGTGGTTATGAGACTAGAGTTGATCTAGTGTTACTCAATATGGTATACTTTGATGTGATCTTGGGCATGGACTGGTTGTCGCCCTATCATGCTATTCTGGATTGTCACTCCAAGACTGTGACACTGGCTATGCCAGGTTTGTCGTAGTTAGAGTGGAGGGGTACATTAGATTATATTCCTAGCAGAGTTATGTCCTATCTTAAGGCACATCGAATGGTTGAGAAGGGGTGCGAGAATCGCGTTGAGGTTGAAGTTGTTGCAGACTTGCACAAACAACTGCTGAGCACAAGCAGTTGCAAACCCATCTGTAACCCATCCAAAATTCACCTTGAGCCCATCAGGCTTCAAACCGAACATGCACACAAGTATAATAATATTTCACAAACTTGATCGCTACCTCGAATCATCAAAATAATATCAAATAACAAGAATCGATCACCAAAACTCTAAATTTCAACTTACAGCTCAACTTTTCATAATTTTTTATATAATGCACCGAAATACGTTTGGGGCGCCCGGAATCCAACCAAACGTGTGTACATGTCCAAAAATATCGTATGAGCCTACCGAAATAGGCAAAATACCTATCCGAGATTGTTTACCAAAAATATTGACTGTTGTCAACTCTAACTTCATTTTAAGTCAAAATTCACGTTTAATTCAAAATCACACAAATCAATAAATATCAAATGATGCTTTGGGAGGTCCCGAAATACTGAAATTAAGGCTAGTACACAAAACAATCTTTCAGGTTGTCACAACTTATTTACTCTTAATATGATGATTTACAGTCACAAATTTATTTATGACTTATAGATCATATGTTTCAAAAGTTTTTCTTTCTTTCCTAAACTTTATCCCCAATCAAACATCATCATATATATTGGGATAAAGGAGTGTCTTACTTGTTTTTGTTCTGTTTTAAAAAAATATTAACTTTTTATATTTAGTATGTTTTTAGTTTCAATATCTTATTTTTTTTTGCCTTTGTCATACTCCCTAAGAATAACAAGACAACAACGACAACATAATACCCATTATGATCCCACAAGTGGGCCATGGGGAGAATAGGGTGTATGCATATCATACCCATAAATAACATGGAGAGGTTATTTCCGATAGACCCTCGTCTTAAGAAAAATATTTTTAAAACAGGTTTGAAAATAAAGAGTAAAAATACTAATGAAAAAGATACAGCAGAAAATAATAAAATTAAAAAATAAGATAATAATAGAACAATAATAATGATATTGATAAAGAGAAGAGAGAGCAGATAAGTTGCACTAAACTGGAATCATGCTCTTCCACTGAAAAGAGAGAAATCACTCAACTACGATGTATGGCGTCATCGTCGATCTCTCCATTTTCTTGGATTATTTACCCAAAGTACTTGAAGCTTACTCTCTTGTGGATGACATGTGTACCAATCCTCACTTTTTTATCTGCCCTATGTGGTGCATCACTGAACTTGCACTGTGTGTACTCTATTTTAGACCTGGCCAATGTGATACTGTTAGACACTAGGGTCGGTCTCCAAACCTCCGGTCTATCATTAGCTTTGTTCTGTGTCTCGTCAAACAATACAGAATGTGACATCATATTCCCTAAGAACGACATGATATATTTAAACAAAAAAATTCAACTTATTTTTTATATGATATACACACCAAAATTACAGTCGGACCAGAAAACATAAAATAAAATGGAAGGAGTGTTAAAGATGAGTACTTATGTCAGTTACAAAACTGGCTTCTATCAATTGAAAACTTAATTCTAGCGGTGTGAGTGAATTGACGTTGACGACACTAACTACTACTTTTGATTAAGAATTTTCTTGAACATTTTTATTTATTTTTGCAACATATCGCATTGAAACTTATGTTGCGTGTTTGATATGTCGAAAAATGTCATCTTAAAAATATACTTTAATAAGCGTTGAAATTAGCTTAAAATGATTAAAATGTGTTCCAACAAAAAAAGAATTTTACATCAAACATGAGAAAATTGCTTACATCATTATATGACTGTACTTTTTTCACTTTAATTCCTAACCAAACTTCAAAATTGATTATATATAAAAAGTCAAATATATACACGGCCCTTTAAATTTGTCCCCTATTTTCATTCAGACATTTGAACTAGGACGAGAATCTATTGAACCCCTCAACTTGAGTTAAATTGTGCCTATTAGACATATTAGACACAATTTGGTGAGGAGGCGTACAATTTGTATGTCACTTTCTTTTAGAGCGTGAGATTTTATTTTTCTTTTTGTAATTTGTTTTATCCTTCTTTTTTTGTGCTTCTCTCTCATCGACCTTCTACTATCCACCTTATCGTAGTTTTGTTTGCCAGAAGGATTGGAGATTGCCGAAAATGTTTTAAAGGAATCAGATCACCTACTCAAGTCACTTTCATCAATGCTTATGGATGCATTTGGTATGAAGAAAAAAATTCATAAAAAATAAGTGATTTTTTACTTATTTTCGGTAGTTGGTTAGGTGGCAATTCTTTTTAGAATATATATGCATAATTTAGTCAAACACTATATGAGATGAAATGAGTAAGGATGAGAAGGGGGGCGGGGGATGATAGGATGGGATCTAGGAACCGGAGTGGCGGTGACAATATTGGGGGGTTGCNAGGTAATATCTGCATACAGAGGCGCATACACCTTATATTATGCGGTATCATGAAATACCGCTACGTCGAATTTTTTTATTAGTTATGTATAAGAAAAATAAAAATATTATGGATAAATATAGAAAATGACACCGCTTAGAACTACATTAAAGTTATTTATTTGTTCATTTCTTCAAATAGTGACACCGCTTATGAAAAATTCTGCATATGCCACTGGGAGGGGGTAAGGGGTGGTGGTGTGGTGGGCACAAAGTGGGGTTNTGAGGAATAGGTGAGAAAGTATTTTGAAAAATATTTTTTTTTCTTTTTGTAAGGAAGTCATTTTCCTCCACGGAGGAAAATGAGTTAATGAAGAAAATATTTTTTAAAATATTTAAGCCACCTAAACATGAAAAAATTAAAAAATATATTTTGAAAAATATCATCCTTCGTACCAAACACACCCTATGTTAAATTTTTTACTGTAAATTAAAACCTTGCTAATTCTCTCCTTCGCTATCGTGTTGTCAATAGAGTCGAAGATAATCTCCAATCAATCTTTAAATGCAATGAGATTAGGAGCTCCAACAAAATGCAATGAGATTCAGGAGCTCCAACAAAATAATTGAATTATGATAGCAGGAGATTGAAGACAAAGGAAATTGTCTTACTATTCCACCAATAGATTGTGAATAGTGGAGGGATATCTTTAAATTCAGTTAAGGCGACATATTTCAGTACAAAGGTGTCGTCCACAACCGGAGGCGAATTTTGGATTTTAAAACCATGAGTGCACTACCTACTTTAAAGTAAATGTGGTGCTTGTTAATAATATCAATTGATGTTCGAACATTTGGTGATTTATAGCTTATTATTAATTATGAATATCATTCAAAGAGACATACAATATATTTCTTAAACCATTCAATTCTTACTATTGATATTTAAAACAAAGAGGTAAAATAGACTGCTAATGACAATTTGATACAGTAGAAATTTAAACTTGTGCAAAAAGAAGCACGGAAAACATCAAACAATTATTAATATATGACTAATTCTTTATATGGGAATTGCTTACAAAAATAAACTATACTCTATAATAAAATATTTATAGACAAAAGTTCAAATAATTTGATTTTAACCAAAATATTTAAGCAAGTTCATTGTGTAATTTATTGTTCAGTCAATAATTTATCACAACTAAAATATTCCTTAAGAAATTATGTTAACAATTCAAAATTCTTTGAGGTAAAAACAATTAAAAACTAAGAAGGAAAAAAGGGTAAAGAAAAAATTACTTGAGAAATAGCAATTGGGATGGAGGTTGGCATAAATTGGGATGAGGAGATAATAGATATTAGGAAAAACTGAAAGAGAGAAATAAGGATTATGGAGTAGTGTGTGTTGGAAAATAAATGAAAAAAAGAAATAAAGGAAAAAGAAAATCTTACAAGATGGAAGTTCAAGTGGGATTCGATCCCTTGACCTTAGAAAAATAAAACCAACCATCCAAACAGTGCACCACTTAACTCTTTTTGAGCATGAGTTCGAGAAGATAATATTAGACAATTTCTGTGAATTATGTACATGAAATATTTAATTTATTGGGAAGATCATGGGTTCACCTGAACCCCATTTTATTAAGTAGATTTGCCCCTGTCCACAACATAAATTTTGAGCTTGATATCACAATTATGTAATTCTTAAAATAATATTAGTTAATTTGAGATTATGGTCTTGAAACAAAGCGGCTACAACATAACCCAAAAAGTGTATGATGTATCAAGGGAAAAGGCATAAGTATCCCAATTTATGATCGAAATTTTAACCACACCCCTTTTCTCTTTAATGAGTCCTATTACCCCCTAAACTTTTTTTGCCATAATTATTTGCACCTTATGTGCTGTCGTGAACCCAAACATGAAAACATCTCCTTCTAGCGCATAGAAACTTAAAGAAAAAGGTTGTAACCTATACGAAGTTGC